TAAACATAATAACCTACTAGAAACTCTCATTCAGAAATACTATTCATTCCGAATTTTGATTCGGAATATCTATTTCAAGTACACAACAGGAATGAAGTTCTTATCGACTACTTATGGCTGGCGGACACACTGCATTGGCACAACACGGAATGACGACGTATAGCTATTGCACTGGAATGGAACAAGAGAATGGGCGTCCATCTAGGTCTGTATTGGGCGATAAGTTTTCTGGCAATTTCATGTAGCGCCTAATTTGGAATACAATGGACAAAATAGCAATGTTAGACTTTTCGCAAGATGGAAACGATCACATGGGTAATGTCAATATCCTTTTCTCTTAACCATAGCAAAATGTGTTAGTTGGAGATCAGACCTTTTCTTGTCACCTCGTTCAAGCGTTCCAGTGACGCAGTACCCGAGTTGGAAATCGGCGTTACTTATATTCGTCGTCAACGTCATCTTAAAATCAGGAGATACAGTGTCTTTGAATTTCCCCGTTATGGTCATGGCGCCACTGCCCTTGTCTGCCATTTTGCCTTTGGTGGTACGTTTTTTGACCCCTGAGACCTCAACAATCTTACAGCGTGATCTGCTCCACCAATAGGTTTTTAGAAGCCAGTAGGATACGAGAGCTGGCTGGGCCCAACCCTCGTACGGAAACAACATCACCTTGGTAGGGTAACCCTCATAGTTAAACACCTTGCGGCAACATTTGCCCCGAGTCTCATAATAAAACAGCTGCACCATGCTTACCACGCCCCCTAATGGATGATAACGTGTACAGGCACTGTAGTTTACAGCGCCCTCTAGGTAACGTTAATTTCTTCCCAACAAGCAACAGTCGTCGTCCATTCAGTTAATTTACATGATGATTCTGGAAGATATAAAGAGAGAAAACACATTTGATAAATTGTCTATCCAATGATATAGTGATGGCGAGTGATTACTGTCATATTATACGACACTAGGGGATAAAATGTACTGATATGAACGTCATACAATCACTCAGAATCCACTTCCGGGCATAAAATCAGGGAAATCCATCTTGAAGTATGGGCACGTGATTAATTGGTATAGACATGACCGACGACGTTCCTTGTAGGCGGATCAAGGCGTCAGTTTGCTGGGTCGCTTCATATCTATGTATAGCGGGGATATATCGAGAAAAGGAAATGTCAGCGAAGCTAATTTTAAATTAATGTTAGCGGGGATATAGGAACACATCTCCACGATCCGTCCATGATATGACATACGATAAATATCGATCGCTATAAGGTTACAAAGCGACCAGAAGGACAGCACGGGGCCATGCATCCTGAGAATGTGTCTACCAGAATCGCAGGTCAAGATTTTCCGATTCATTTGTGATAAATATATGTACCCAAATAACGATTTGTATTTCATGACACGATGCTGATTGTAAACTGAATATAACGTTAAACATCGTTTTAAAGTTGATTTTTGTTTCTACAAGAAATAAATACACAAAAGTTTACCGGTAGAAAATTATAATTCCATAATGCCATTAGGATTAAAGATAAAATAGTCATATCATAGATAAATCTAACTTAACAATCGTTTAGCATTTAAAATTATCAACCGTAAACATTTAATATACCAAAGCTGAATTCTATGAAATGCAAAAGAAATAGGTGTAGCACAAGATATCGCTTGTTTTTAAAGTAAACTAAGGCAACATGAGGTATATGTATAATTATTTGCGCAGTGATCTTTTTGCGCAACGACGACACTTATGTGACTCACTATCACAATGCAGTGCCTTCAAATTAAGTTAAAAGCATTCAAATATTATAACATGTTAAATAGGAATATTTATATAATTGAAATAAGAAAGAAATGTTTTTTTTT